TGTTTCTTATCATTTGAGAGATCTTCCAGGGTTACTTGGGCTGAAAATGCATCTCTCTTAAAGGTTCACCTTTGCCAATTGATCCAAAGTAATTAGATAAATACTTTTTTCAATGCTTTCACTTTTACTTTTTATTTAGAAAAGCATTTTTAGCTATCATTTTCAGTGTCAGAGAGTGAGAGCTACATTTTTTGATGTGTCTTGAAATAAAATGAAGCTAAATAATGTTAGCATGTGGGTTCTGGTCCTGTTTTTAGCTCAAGTTAGTGCAGGATCTGTAGCTCCTGACAGACCTTCTGACTGATTTAGTTTTCATCCATTATCAGTTTTTAATCCTCTTAATGCCCAAACAGTGCAAGATTTTCTTATTTAAACAGATAAATTACAGGAACCCTTATGTGGGACCAGAATATAAGTCTCAGACTTTCTGTCAGCGGTGTTACTGAAAAAAACTGTTTATCTTACATCTTCTTAGGATCAGTACTCAAGTTGAGGGGGGATGGTATCCCCCTTCTTAAAAAAATCTTAAAAATCATTCCTTCTTAAGTGACCATCCCCCCATACCATCCACCGTGACATTTATTACTGAATGTGTAAAATTCTATTATATATTAACAGTAATGGCAATAATATTGCTTGCAAGTAACCTGAGCAAAATAATTAAAATCAAAGAAGTGACCTATCATGACTATGAAGCTGATCCCAGTGGGAAACTTAAATAATAAGTAAATGGACATCATGACATTGATTTGAATATTTATGCATATATAGATATATAAAACACGTATACAAGCCGCATGGAGCTCCTGAATTAAAATGATGTTGAGCATTATTCACTGAAATCAGTTTTCTGTGACGTTCAAGCAATAATTAGTCTGATTCCTGCACCTGTTGACAGGTATGTTGGTTCACTGTTCATCTAAGGAGCCTTAATTTGACTGGAATATTTTTTCAAACAAAAATTCAATATGCAAATAAATACAAAATACAAAATGGGGTTTGTAAACTTTCAGGCACAACTGTATATACAGTGGGGGGAATAAGTATTTGACCCCTTGCTGATTTTGAAGGTTTGCCCACTTACAAAGAATGCAACGATCTATAATTTTTATCCTATGTACATTCTAACAGTGAGAGAAAGATGTGCTGGCCAATAATGGCTTTTCAACAAAATATTAACATTCTGTTTGTCCAGGGGGTCAAATATTTGTTTTTCCTCATCAGATGGTTATCAATTTTAATAAATTAATATGAT